ACTTCCCAGTACTACTTTGTACTACACAGCTTGCACAAGGCACTTCCCAGTACTACTTTGTACTGCAAAGCTTGCACAAAGCACTTCCCAGTACTACTGTGTACTACAAAGCTTGCACAAAACACTTCCCAGTACTACTTTGTACTACAAAGCTTGCACAAAGCACTTCCCAGTACTACTGTGTACTACAAAGCTTGCACGAAGTACTTCCCACTACTTTTTAAACAAGCTTGCACAAAGAAAGCTTTTACACACTGCAAATTCTTTCGCGGAGAAGCTTTTACACACAGCAAGCTTTTTAAACAGAGAAGCTTTTACACACAGAGAAGCTTTTACACACAACAAGCTTTTACACAGAGAAGCTTTTACACACAGCAAGCTTTCACACACAGCAAGCGTTTACACACAGAACACTTACGCACAGTGCTTTTACACATGGCAAGCGTTTACACACACACAGAAACTTTTACACAGCGACGCTTTCAGACACAGAGAAGCTTTTACACACAGCAAGCTTTTACACAAAATCTTTTACACGCAGCAAGCTTTTACAGAACAAACAATTATACAGAGAAGCTTGTTTGTACATAATCGCAACAGGAATTGCAGCTCCAAAACCGGATGGATCTCGACGCCAAAGCCAAAAAAAGACGATTTTGAAGCACTTTTTTAATATATATTTTTAAAACCAAAATTACTAGCGCCAAAATCGAGAAAATTTGCTGACAAATCAATATCCCAGCCTTGATGCAGCCACTCCAATACGATTTAAACCTTGACGCAGCCATTACAATGCGATCTGCTAAGGCTGAGTTGCCAAACACAATAGAACTACGCGCAACGGCGTCGGAAATTGCAGCTCCAAAACCAAAACCGGATCTCGACGCCAAAGCGAAAAAAAAGATTTTGAAAGGATTTTTAAAAGGAAAATTACTAACGCCAAAATCGAGAAAATCTGCTGACAAATCAATATCCCAGCCTTGGTGCAGCCACTCCAATACGATTAACGATGTCCAGCTGCAAAAGCGAATAGTATTACGCATGCAGCCGCTGCAGCCACCTTACACGGAAAAACACAAGGTTAGGTTTCGTGCCCCGGCTTCCTCCCCACAACATAGCCCATGCAACATTCATGCAGCCATTCCAATGCGATCTGCAACCAGAGATTCAAGAAATGCATAGAACTACGCACACAGGAACAACCACTTGTTGCAAGACACAGAGGAGGAACCAAAACGACCGCAGCCACAACCGCCGCACACAGGAGGTACCTTTCATCGTCGGCTGCAGCCTAGCCCATGCAACAGTCATGCAGCCATTCCAATGCGATCTGCAACCAGAGATTCAAGAAACGCATAGAACTACGCACACAGGAACAACCACTTGTTGCAAAACATAATAGAGGAGGAACCAAAACGACCGCAGCCACAACCGCCGCACACAGGAGGTACCTTTCATCGTCGGCTGCAGCCACTTTAGACGGAAAAACACAAGGTTTCGTGCTCCGGCCCCCCCACAACATAGCCCATGCAACATTCATGCAGCCATTCCAATGCGATCTGCAACCAGAGATTCAAGAAACGCAAAGAACTACACACACAGGAACAACCACTTGTTGCAAGACACAGAGGAGGAACCAAAACGACCGCAGCCGCAACTGCCGCACACAGGAGGTACCTTTCATCGTCGGCTGCAGCCACTTTACACGAAAAAACACAAGGTTTCGCGCTCTGGCTTCCTCCCCACAACATAGCCCATGCAACATTCATGCAGCCATTCCAATGCGATCTGCAACCAGAGATTCAAGAAACGCATAGAACTACGCACACAGGAACAACCACTTGTTGCAAAACACAGAGGAGGAACCAAAACGACCGCAGCCGCAACCGCCGTACACAGGAGGTACCTTTCATCGCCGGCTGCAGCCACTTATACATGGAAAAACACAAGGTTTCGCGCTCTGGCTTCCTCCCCAAAACAAAGCCCATGCAACATCCATGCAGCCATTACAATGCGATTTGCAACCATAGCTTCAAGAAACGCATAGAACTACGCACACAGCTTTAAGAACTATGTCACCACTTCCCATCGTCACCACTTCCCTTCCTCACCACTTCCCTTTCTCACCACTTCCCTTCGTCACCACTTTCCTTCCTCACCACTTCCCTTCGTCACCACTTCCTTTCCTCACCACTCCCCTTCATCACCACTTCCCTTCGTCACCACTTCCCTTCCTCACCACTTCCCATCGTCACCATCTCCCATCGTCCCCGCCTCCCTTCCTCACCACTCCCCTTCATCACCACTTCCCTTCGTCACCACTTCCCTTCCTCACCACTTCCCATCGTCACCACTTCCCATCGTTACCATTTCCCATCGTCACCACCTCCCTTCGTCACCACCCTGTGTCATAGCTTCTTTTTCTATGTGATGTACCACCCTTCATCACGCTCAATTCCATAGATTCTTAGTTATGTGTTGTTATGTTATGTATTGTGATGTGATGTACCACCCTTCATCAAGGTCAATTCAACCGCTTCTTATTCTTTTGTTATGTATTGTTAGATCACATACCACCCTTCATCATAGTCAATTCCATCAAGTAAAAATCATTCGTAACTCGGAAGTATTGCTTCCCAACTTCCTTTGGTAATATGCTGAATCTAGGGCAAAACAAGTTTTCTTGAGGGAGACGCGTACCCTTGAGCTGGAGGGAGATTGGGAAAAGTAACTTTCGATTAGCTAGGGGACCTCACCTTACTTTGGGATATATATGGGATACATAGTTGGGATCACACCTTCACCAAGCAGGATTTTTTTCGCGGTGGGTTGGAGGTGATGAATCATGAATCTATAGGACTGTTAGGAATAACCAAGGAAACTGGTGGTTGAAAGGGTATTTTGATGGGATTTAATGGGCCTTGATGGATAAGAATGGGATATAGTGCAATGAGATTGAACAGAAAATTACCATCCTATTTCAGGGTGTTAACATGGCTTAAACATCAGAAACATGGGCCAAGGGGGATGTGTCATTGATGATAGTTGATCATTTGGGGGTGATACCTATTTCTGGCCAATCTAAGATCAGAATCAACCAAACTAGGGGTATAAAAGGCGATGAAGGATGATGAAGGGATATATATATATATTGATTGTGGTATCTCCTATAAAATGGCTTGGTGGAAACCTATATCTTATAATTTTAGATTTTCCTATTGGATCTACAGAGTATGTAATTATAAATTATATGTGTATAGATTTAATGATAATATCTATAGGATACCAGACGTTGATTACTGTTCTGTAGGAGTAGGCTGACTATAATTCATCCATGAATTACTAAGATTCATCTTGGCAATCAAATTTGATGATGGTTAAACATGGTTAAAGCATCTGAACCGGCACATTTTGGTGGTTCTTCACATCACTTACCCATTTGTTGATTGAATTTCTGCCGGTACATGGATGTAGCAGCAGCCCTCCAACTAGCCCCAAAAGATGATCAAAGTACAGTATCTAGGTACAGTATCCCTAGCTAAATTGGCCCATAACTCCAAAATCACTAGGCCTTGAATCATATGAGAATCTAATCAGGATTTCGAAGAACCCCATGGCTTACCCCATTTTTCCAATTTCTCTACAGGCCTGGTGCAGGCTGGATGCACCTCACACCTGGCCTGGTAGAAGTGGGATCACTGCTGCTGGCAGGCCGGTGGTGATGCATTTGAGCGTTTTTTCTGCACAAATTCATAGATGTTTTTTCCCATTTGTTGGTTGATTAATAGAGGGACCTTATTTTTACCAAAAGGACATTATCGTGCAGAAAAGTAGATGAAGTGGGCCACAAGGCATACTATGCCCCAGGCATAGGCTCCAATGCAGACGGCGTAGGTTGCGTAGGCATCGGCGTAGGATTGTTTTAGCTTACACCGCGTAGGCTTTGTGTAGACACTCGCTTTCAACAGTTAGAGCTCATTTATCTTGCCTTTGTCCATGGCCGCGTAGGCAAAGCCTACACTGCGTAGGCTCGCGTAGGCACCCCTTAAAAACCATACCTCGCATAGGCTACCTCATTCAATGGTTACCGTAGACAGTTGTGTAGGCGATATGTTACTGGTCATCGAAAGACAAGGATAAAAAACGCTACTCATTTGTTTTCTGCCCAAAAAAAGGGGAGATGAACGGCCGAGTTCTATCAACAACTTTAACATGATTTAGCAAAGTCCATTAACTCACTGATTTTATACCAAAACCGTGAGGTGATGGATTTTGTGTTGATTTTGGCAAAACAGGACGTTCGTCTCTTCATATGTCTTATTTCCAGGTGAGGAACCGTACTTTCTGTTGCGATGCACCAAGATAGCTCACAGAATCTGTCCATACGGAGGTGCTCGAATTAGCGTGAAACAAGGAAGTTTTAACATGGATCCATGGCTATTTCGGTGGACCATAGTGGCATAGTGGGATTTCATGGGTATTCGCAACCAACCATACAGGAAACTCTAAATCTTGCTGCAAACTCCGTGCAAATCTACCACAGAACGTCAGATTCTGCTTTTCGTGTCGTGAATCTACCAAAAGATCCGTTTATCCATGTATATGTATATAAAATCATATCGGCACTGCCCACGCTATGCCTCTTGGACCCTGAAATTGTCCGTGATAAATCATATTTCAATGATTAGTTGATAAAAACAATTGAAACCTATTCAACCCTTAAACATCATCTTCGAGAACAAGTCTGTTTGTTTTACCATTTGAAATAACCAGTTGGTTCGATGATAAAAAGCACAGCGAAAACCTAGTCCAAACAGCCATTCGAAAATCATTGAGAACCATCAAAAAAACATGAAAGAAACATCAAAAAACCCATGAGAAACACATGTTTAAACGCCATAAACCCAGCATTTCTCCGAGTGAACTCCGCCATTTTTTCCGTTTTGAGGCGCCGGTGCCTTCGCGCTGAGACGCCCAGAGCTGCACCGCGCGGTGGCCTTGGTGGTGAGCCGTGGAGGCGGGGTTTTATCATGGGATTGTCATCATTGGAGTTTTCCTGGAATGGTACCCTCAAGTCATCCAAGTAATTAGGATATTGATATATCGATGGTTCACTGATGGTTCATTAATCTTATGAATTTTGAATGGTACCCTCAAATTGGAAACCTCCAATAGGACACCATTATATTCTTGGAAATAATAGGCAACCATATTATATCAATATCCAATATCAATATCAATGATTATCAAATTGACAATATAAGTGACCCCCAAATCATCCTAGACCATTGCGGTACAAGGAGGCCCTTGATTTGGGATGATACTGGGACATAATGAATGAATATAATGGGACATACTATGAATGGTTAATCCCCAATGATGGCTCATTGATGGACCATTGATAAGAATGATACATTAATGGTTCATTATATACCATTAGAATGAATGGTTTCCCTATGTCAAGTCATCCAAGTAATTAGGATATTGATAGATCGATGGTTCATTGATGGTTCATTTGTCACGAAAGCTAGCGTCAGCTAGCTGGAGTCTTCTTGCTTTAGCAAGTATTCCGGGGGCTGCTCAAGGACATCACGTGATTTTTCACGCGAAAGGGGGGGACCCCCCCCTCCCCTCCCCACCCCACCACCACCACCACCATCACCACCACCACCATCATCATCATCATCATCATCATCATCATCATCATCATCATCGTCATCGTCATCATCATCGTCATCATCATCATCATCATCATCATCGTCATCGTCCTCGCCATCGTCCTCGTCATCGTCATCGTCATCGTCATCATCATCATCATCATCATCACCATCATCACCATCACCACCATCATCATCGTCATCATCATCGTCATCATCATCATCATCATCATCGTCATCGTCCTCGCCATCGTCCTCGTCATCATCATCATCATCATCATCATCATCGTCCTCGTCCTCGTCCTTGTCCTCGTCATCGTCATCGTCCTCGTCATCGTCCTCGTCATCATCATCATCATCATCATCATAATCATCATCATCATCATCGTCATCATCATCATCATCATCATCATCACCATCATCGTTAATCAATTACATTTTATCATTATTGGCAATTATTGGCATTATCACGAAAGCTAGCGTCAGCTCGCTAGAGTATTCTTGCTTTAGCAAGTATTCCGGGGCTCCCCAAGGACATCACGTGCTTTTTCACGCGAAAGGGCCCCCCCCTGCCCCCTCCCCCATATATATCATTGTTATATATCATATATCATATATCATTGTTGCATCCTCGTTGGGACGAACAATGCCGCGACACGATGATGACAGTCCCTCCGCAACTCACCTCTTCCCTTCCTTCTTTCTCCTACCCCGCTAGCTTTCGTCATCCACCCCCGGCCTCAAGTCTTATGAATGATGAATGGTACCCTCAAATTGACAATATGATTGATATTGGATATTGATATAGACCATTACAGGAAACCTCCAATTTTACGGTTTCATTCTATGTTCTTGATTGGAATTTGGAAACCTCCAATTATGACAATTATGATATCGATTGATTGTTAATATAGGAAACCTCCAATTTTAGGCACCCTCAAATCATCCTAGACCATTTTAGTATAAGCATGATGGAAAACAATGTGTAATGGATAATCTATATATATAATGGTCAATCTTAGATGGGTACTTTAATCCTTTAGTCTTTTGGTATCAATGCGATTATCTACATGTCCCAGCTAAGAATTATTTTTTGCAGGGTATCTGGCTGATTGGCACTGGAATGGGGGTACCCTCAAATCATCTTAAATTAGGATATTGATTGATATCTGTATTTGAGAGTATCAATGTATTGATCTACATGTATCTAAATATCCTCAAATCAAATGATTGATATTGATTGATATCTATCTATATTAGGCTTCCTAAAATATGCAGGATACCCCAAAGCATCCAAGTCATCAGACCATTTTAGTATTGAAACCCATAGTGACTTGGGGGTCCCCCATTTTTAGGAACCCCCCAGTTAATCATAATTTTAATGGCTAATAATGTATAACCATTAAGATTTGGAAAGTCAGAATTAGTTATCATGACATATTGATGATGTATGCCTAATTCTAGATCATGATGTTCATGATCTTCCCATTCTTAATTATCATACATCCCAAATGGGATCATATGTTTACTTATTGTTCATGATGTTTACTTAATGTTCATAGTCTGGAAAATCGTGGAGTTCAATGTTGCATGTTCTTAATGTGGTAGATACTGTGGATGGTTGCGAAATCCTGCATCAGATAAGTGGTAAACATCCCATTAATTATAGGGTTTTAACCATACAAGGTTGTGCACACCACCTTGGATGGTTAAACCCCTAAAATATTAATGGGATGTTTACCATTTATCAACTGGTGCAGGATTTCGCTGGCCCATCCACCGTATGTGATGTTATATGGTCAAGAAAGATCTGATTCATCGAACTGTAAGCCTACATTCATCTACTGCCGTGAACCGCCGAGTAAGTCATAAACAGATTACATTCTGGTAATTTGTTACATAGCTATTGAAAATGACCATTTATAGTGGATTTACCCATTGAAAATGGTGATTTTCCATAGTTATGTAAACGTATGTAAACGTTTACCAGAGGGTGTATATATATATACATATATATATATATATGTATTCCACCACTTGGAGGATCCACGAATCGTAAGTACTTAGTATGTGCTTGGTAACTGTGCTTAGTTCACCCATTTGTAAATTGGGATAATCCGTGAAGAAAGGGGACGAGCTGGAGAGCCAGGCAGCTCTAACATGTTGGATGAAGAATACTTACTGGTGCTTAGTAGGAATGGATGGGGATGGGGGAATGGATAGTTATTGTGGATGATTCCCACATTCCCTACTAAGCACAAGTAAGAATAGGATTGTGGCAAAGTCTGCTGTATTGAGTCCTTTTTGCTGATGAACCGTCATGGCTCTAGGTATGTGAAGCGCGTTGAACAATTCCATGTTCATTCTAATGTTTTCAGCTGCCAAACAAATTTCCGGAAGGTAAGGACCTGGGAACAGGGCCAGGGAGAGGGCTTCATCTACTACCTACCTTCTGGTGAAGGATGGTTCTTGGAAGTGGAATTGGACTTGCTGGTACAACTTCCTGCACATCCAGAACTGCTTAGTGTTTCTGGCTTCAGTTCGGAGAAGCCACGGGCGACGAAGCCGATCACCAGGGTACCAGGCTACCACTAGGATGAGCCTCCAAGTATTTTTTCCCAGTCTGCGGGTGATGGTCACTAATCCATTTTATAGGGGTCTATGTAGCCATTACAACAGGGATTAGGATTGATGTCCCGTGAATCGCGGCTGCAGGCCAACTCGGACAATTTTCATCGGGGATGTTTTGCCTTCTAAAATTCCACGAAGTGGTGCCCACCAGTTACAGGTTTGTGTATAGGATAAACCCTCTTATTTGTAGCCGATCATGTCATATGTCTCACATAAACCCGAGCAAATAAAGTTATAAACCAACGTAGCTATCCAGGGGACCCAACCTTGCAATCAAGCTTTATATCCTCAACATTCAAGAAGATTATAAGTGACTTTAATATCCTTTCTATTTTGAATAGTGTTCACATCCGTGACGAGCAAAGTCGGGTTAGCCATGGTTTTATCCCCACTCAATATTCACGGGAAGTGCCGCCATAAGCATAGAATTTTGGAATCTATAATAAGGTTCACAATAACCATAGTTGGGAGGATTTGGGATTTTACCAACCAAAACTGGTTATAAAACCAAGCATATCTTAACCTGGTGGTATTAGAATCAGGATGTAATGGGAATGGGATATAGGACAAACAGTATGATATATTGGTGTATCTGCAAACGGATATTATACCCCCAACTTGCCGTTTTAATAGTGATAATTATGATAAAGCATCACAATTTTGGGTACCCTATTGTCAGACAAAGCCGCATGTGGTTGTCAGTGTTTTTATTTGGTCTTTAATCGTGGTTACCATAGAACCAACTAAGTTACTTATTCCATATATAGTTAACCAACGTAAATGTGTTTTTTTGGTTTTTGTCAAGAAACCCAGATCTCAAAGTAGAATATATCCCTATATTCCCCTTATACCCGCTGAGCTAATATGGGTACTTTCCACTTAGCAACTGGCACTGCAGGAAAACCACAGGTGTATTGGTCAAATCTCATTGTTTCTTTGTTCAATCTAGATGCGTTGCTTGTATTTGCTTGTATGTGTTGATTTCTACTTGGATGTGCAGTTCCATAAGTGGTCAAATAGCCATAGTATAGGGATTATACCAGATTATACCCCAACTTTTATGGGATTGATAACCTCTAGATTACCATCGGAATCTCAATCTGCCCCCGTAGTTGGTCAAAACCACTCTTTGTCTCGCAGATGATGCGGGCGCTTCGCGCCCGCGTGCACTGCTACTGAACCGGCCCGCCGCTCATGGTGAACAAGCTCCGCAGGTGCTGGCTGTGCAGACGTGACTTGACAAAGTTGTTTTGGATGGAGGTGAGATCCCCCAAAAATAGAGGCTAACCAATATAAACCATATATAAACATTAGAAACCATCAAAAATAGGATTATCAAAAGTTGTTTCTTCGGGGTTAACCATGAAAAATCGTGATTTCATGGAATTTCCCCAATATACATGAAGATTTAGAACCAACCATAGTCGGGAATGGGATATAAGCTTTTAACCGGCAGTATGATATTTGGGATGTGTCTGAAAATGGGGGTGGTCATACTATGTCGGTTTTTCTTGGAAAATTGATGACTCAATGGCCATTTCAGGATCCTAGATTGGAGGTACCTAGCACATATAAGGCCTATGTAAGGCACGATTTCATAGCGTAGCATCACCATAGTGTGCAAGTGCACATGAACGTTATTATCCCACCCCACCCCAAATGCTAGAGACGATTTCATAGCGTAGCATCACCATAGTGTGCAAGTGCACATGAACATTATTATCCCACCCCACCCCAAAATGCTAGAGACGATTTCATAGCGTAGCATCACCATAGTGTGCAAGTGCACATGAACGTTATTATCCCACCCCACCCCAAATGCTAGAGACAATTTCATAGCGTAGCAGCGTAGCATCACCATAGTGTGCAAGTGCACATGAACGTTATTATCCCACCCCACCCCAAATGCTAGAGACGATTTCATAGCGTAGCATCACCATAGTGTGCAAGTACACATGAACGTTATTATCCCAAATGCTAGAGACAATTTCATAGCGTAGCATCACCATAGTGTGCAAGTGCACATGAACGTTATTATCCCACCCCACCCCAAATGCTAGAGACGATTTCATAGCGTAGCAGCGTAGCATCACCATAGTGTGCAAGTGCACATGAACGTTATTTTCCCACCCCACCCCAAATGCTAGAGACGATTTCATAGCGTAGCATCACCATAGTGTGCAAGTGCACATGAACGTTATTATCCGACCCCACCCCAAATGCTAGAGACGATTTCATAGCGTAGCATCACCATAGTGTGCAAGTGCACATGAACGTTATTATCCCACCCCACCCCAAATGCTAGAGACGATTTCATAGCGTAGCATCACCATAGTGTGCAAGTGCACATGAACGTTATTATCCCACCCCACCCCAAATGCTAGAGACGATTTCATAGCGTAGCAGCGTAGCATCACCATAGTGTGCAAGCGCACATGAACGTTATTATCCCACCCCACCCCAAATGCTAGAGACGATTTCATAGCGTAGCATCACCATAGTGTGCAAGTGCACATGAACATTATTATCCCACCCCACCCCAAATGCTAGAGACGATTTCATAGCGTAGCATCACCATCGTGCGCAAGTGCACATGAACGTTATTATCCCACCCCACCCCAAATGCTAGAGACGATTTCATAGCGTAGCATCACCATAGTGTGCAAGTGCACATGAACGTTATTATCCCACTCCACCCCAAATGCTAGAGACGATTTCATAGCGTAGCATCACCATAGTGTGCAAGTTCACATGAACGTTTTTATCCCACCCCACCCCAAAATGCTAGAGACAATTTCATAGCGTAGCAGCGTAGCATCACCATCGTGCGCAAGTGCATATGAACGTTATTATCCCACCACCCCAAATGCTAGAGACGATTTCATAGCGTAGCATCACCATAGTGTGCAAGTGCACATGAACGTTTTTATCCCATCCCACCCCACCCCACCCGAAACTGCGAAAAGGCACGTACCGTTTCCCAGGCGCCAGCGAAACCATGCATCAACTCAAGTTTTGTTTGTACACATATTGTCTCCATAAGGTGCCTTGCATCGGAAGCAAAATCAGCTTGTGAATTACAACGTAGATTGTGGACTGCGACCATTGCGACAGTAGTTTGTGAGACATTGCAAAGCTTTAAGAATATTCCCAGCATTGCTGTTTTCTTGCCAGAGCTTCGGAGTCTAGATTGAACTGCTTTGTCATTCATGTGTGTCTCCTTGAAGCATGCAATTCAGCTTTTCCTGTTTCGGACTCTTGAATGAAGTACCGTGACCTGGCTGAATAAAGAAGAATCTACCATAAATGCTTCGCTCTCACAGACGCTCATGAAGAGATGCGTTGCTCTCTGAACCAGGGAGCGTTGCACTGCACTGGCAGGCTGCCCGTACCGTTTTGGACCAGGAGCGCTTGTCTGACTAATTCTTACCAAATCGTAACCGCTGCAAGCAATGAAGGTGCAGTTGCGAGGGCGTTGGCTAATGGTGTCAATTTTGGCCAAAGCGTTCAGCAACGAAAGTCAACCTGAAGCCTTGCGCTGTTTGAGCCATTTATGATGTTGAACCCAAAAATAGATGGTTAAGGTTTGCCCTTATGAACGCGATTGTTCGTGGCTGGTGTATAGACTTATAACCAAACATTGTGGGTTACATTAGCCATAATTACATCATCACGGATTGGTAGATTAGGCGGGAATCAACCACGCAGCCATGTCGGGCAGTCGCTGGGCACCCAACTACTTCGAGCGAACATCAGCAGAGGTATTGCAGGAAGATCATTCCGCGAGCAAGCAATGATTTCTACAAGCTATAACGTCCCGGAAGATGTATTCGCAGTCGAATACATACATAGCGCCCAGGCAGTACACAAGGCATCGATTGCCCGGACAGCGGCAGCGCTCCAAGTGAAGGCGGCCAGCTGTGCAGAACGTGACACAACCCCAGTTACAGCTGATGGCTCTTCAAGGGCAAGGGCCTGCAGGCGGGGCTGCAGCTGAAGAATGTCAGATAGAGTGTCACAATAGTGCCATAATCGATGTCAGATAGAATGCCAGATAGAATGTCAACGTTTTTTTGCCGCAAAGAATGTCAGACAGAATGGCAGAACATATTGCCATGTCTATTTCTAGATGGTATGTCATAAACTTTGGCAGTATAATTTTCAGGATGGGGATTATTCGAAATTTCAATTCCATCTCTCTTCACTGCGTTGTCCCTTGTTAATCATAGGAAGCATCATCTGGCTCATCTATAGGGGGAAACCGCCTTGTTGTTGTTGTTGTTGTTGTTGTTGTTGGGTTATTGCGCCGTGAGGCCAGCGTTACATGACCCCTCACATGACCAGCTGAGGCGAGAGACGGGCGGATTTCCCTTGCCAGGGCTGCGACTCCTAGAGGACACAGATCGAAAGAATCTGCTGAGTGAACTACCGTATCACGACATATTGTTGGCTACATTATGTATACAGTTATTCACGCAGTATCAATATATATATATATTGTATATATGTAAATATATTGTTTATATCGTACTATATTACGTATCATCGATTGAATTTTCATAGTATATCACATAAATAATTATGCCACTATAGACTATAGTATATCACAGTATATATTCTATGTGTTGAATTTTCATACCCTCAAGTTGGAAGGTTCTAGAATGCCCCCCCCCCTGGGGATAAACACGGAGGGTTCTAGAATGAAAAATTTTCATTGTAGAACCCCCGGTCCCGTAAGCATTGTAGAACCCTGGAAGCTTGTACAATATGATAATAATAATACCATATGATTATAATACCATATGATGATGTATCTGTACGATTTAATTCGACGTCACGACGTCACCCCGAATTAACGAGGCAGAATTTTGAAATTAAGGGGATGTGTACATAAAGTGCAGAAGGTCAAATAAGATCAAATAAGGCCTTAACAACGTCGCAGAGAAATACAGCTATTTAATGCTATTTCATGATATTTCAGCATTGGTCTACAATACCAACAGTTGATTTGGAAACACGTTGATCTGGAATGTCACAATTTTTCTTGTGGAGAGGAGGGAAGGGTTCTAGAATGGTTTCCTGCATGTACCAAAGTGTGATTCAACATCTGTGGCTCATGGATTCCATTTCAGAACACATAGATGTAGCTCTATACACAGAAGGTCAAATAAGATCAAATAAGGCCTTAACAACGTCGCAGAGAAATACAGCTATTTAATGCTATTTCATGATATTTCAGCATTGGTCTACAATACCAACAGTTGATTTGGAAACACATTGGTCTGGAATGTCCCAATTTTTCTTGTGGAGAGGAGGGAAGGGTTCTAGAATGGTTTCCTTCATGTGCCAAAGTGTGATTCAACATCTGTGGCCCATGGATTCCATTTCAGAACACATAGATGTAGCTCTATACACAGAAGGTCAAATAAGATCAAATAAGGCCTTAACAACGTTGCAGAGAAATACAACTACTTAATGCTATTTCATGTTATTTCAGCATTGGTCTATAATACCAACAGTTGATTTGGAAACACAGTGGTCTGGAATGTCCCAATTTTTCTTGTGGAGAGGAGGGAAGGGTTCTAGAATGGTTTCCTTCATGTACCAAAGTGTGATTCAACATCCGTGGCCCATGGATTCCATTTCAGAACGCATAGATGTAGCTCTATACACAGAAGGTCAAATAAGATCAAATAAGGCCTTAACAACGTTATAGAGAAATACAGCTACTCAATGCTATTTCATGATATTTCAGCATTGGTCTACAATACCAACAGTTGATTTGGAAACACTGGACCATTACAAGAAGTGAAGATGTTGAAGAGTTTGACGCATGAGTGCATCATCAAGTATATCAAGTTTTGGATGTTTTTCAAGATTTTTTTAAGGGTGGAAGATACCATTCCAGAACCCATTTTAGAACCCAAAAACGGAATAGCGGCCAACAATTTTAGGTTCTAAGACCCCCCTTGTAGATTCCATTTTAGAACCCATATTTGGGTTCTAAAATGGTCCCCAAGGGGGTTCGAAGCAACTTGAGAGGATGAATTTTCCCTATTCTATCTACCCCAGGATTACTATCTATCTATTTATTTTTTTCTATTAAGGAAGAAAATACATAAATATATATATATATATACAAATTTTTTTGGTCGTTTTCAAAGTCATGGGGGTACCTCAATTCAACCAAGTCATGGATGACCACGACTTAGCATTGAAACAGCCTGGTGACTTGGAGCTCCATTGTAAGAAAACCCTGGGTCCCGCAACAAGGTGGCTTTAACCAATACAATGGAGATATTAATGTAATGGTCACTGGTTAGACATGGTTAGCGGACAATGGTAAGTGATATGGTTACTGTTGGTTACAAAATGATGGATAATTGATGGAAAATTCATCTCATAAGAACCCCAGTTCATGAAAACATCCAACACAAGACTAGGGTTTCAAAAAAATATTCTAAACAACTTGGAGAAAGGGCATCCAGGATTGGCCACGAATTCAGAACTTGTTGGTTGTGTGGGGCTATACTAGTTGGTTGGGGATCGTGACATCCATTCAACCAAGGGGATGACCCATCCACAAAAACTACCAAGTTGGCAACAATCTGATCAGCAAGTAATAGAACTAGTTTGTTTTCCGAACAACTACTGTATGACCAGCACAGTATTGCTGCGGTGGATTGTGGACATACTACACTTGGATGTTTAGCAGATGAATTTATATGGATTTAGTTAATTGTTGAACAGGGGATGAGGAAATAGTAGATGAAATTTCATGGGTTTACCGGTTTTATCTCAACTTTTGGTACGGGATCAACAAACCATTTAGATTTACCCTCTGGTAAACGTTTACAAAAAAGGATGGAAAATCACCATGTTGAATGGGTAAATCAACTATTTCTATGGGCAATTTTCAATAGCTATGTTAGTTTAGCAGAGGGTAAGCCTTTGCAGATATGATAAACCCCAGCCATCAGATAGCGTAAATCCACTATTTCTATGGTTCATTTTCAATAGTTTTTTGTATGTTTACCAGAGGGTACATGTTGTATTTCTGGTGCGAGGATAGACACGACCCATTGGCGACAGCAGATTTGCTGGTGGACGTGGGAGGACCACGGGGGCAGTTTGGTGATGTTTTTTGCGGTGAGGATACCCAAAAAATACTTGGATGTGCATCCCGCGAATCGGATCCGTGGTTTATAGTCCATTAATCTAAACCATATTTCATTCCATGAATCTAACTGAGGGGGTAACTTGAACCATTTGCGACTCAGTGTCGCCCGCACCCCCAACAACAACCCCCCAAACCCATGGTACTTCCGGAAGAGGCCATGGAACCAAGGTCCTACCATACTACCATCAGTATGCGTTCAGGTCTTGGGTCATGGTGGAACAACAAGGAAGGAATGCTCGCACCATAGGTATCCATAGGTATTCTGGGATTTCTGAGGAACCTTTACACTTCGGGTTTCTAACGTGGTGAAAATGCACCATTTCGATATTCCGTTGTGGTACAGGGAGGTAATGCCAAGTAGTGATGTGCTGAACCACGTGGTCAAACTCACCAGGAGAAGTGACTTGGAGATCCACTCAGCACTTGCAAGCGGAGTTGCTCGGGAGTGCACAGGGGCAGTACTTGGATGTGCGGGACCCCTTTAGTGGTTAAGACGCTGATGGCTGGGGTTTATCATATCTGCAAATGGCTTACCCTCCGGTAAACTAACATAGCTATTGAAAATTGCCCATAAAAATAGTTGATTTACCCATTAAACATGGTGATTTTCTATCGTTTTTTGTAAACGTTTACCAGGGGGTATAGGATGGCTGTGGTGCACGTTGGATTCACCGGATGCATCCCTCACCCTTCACTTTAGTCATTCGTTGGACGCGCGGCGTCGGTACATTTTTGGGATCGCGGACTCCTCATACAGGAGTTCACTGGTTTTTTGACATCGTACATCATACTTAAATCTACCCTCTCGTAAACGTTTACGTAACTAAATACGGACAATCACCATGCTATTCATGGGTAAATCAACTATTTCAATGGGCAATTTTCAATAGCAAACTGTAAACGTTTACCGGAGGGTACAGAGGATTCTTGAGAGTCCCTAAAGTCACACCACTCGAGGCCCGTCATTGCCTGATCGTGGAACCAGTCATTCAAAACCTCAGTGATGCATTTGCCCCAGGCTATCAGGAGAATCGAGTATAGCAAATCCTAAAGTTATACAGCTAGCAGAATCCCAATACTCAAGTTGGAAAGCGAAACTTTACTTTTTGAGTATATTGTATACCGAACAAAAGATAGAACCGTGTTTCCAGAATGGTTTAGATGGTATTCATTTCATATTTCCAGGTTTTTGACTTTTCTACGACTTGGGGTTGCTATACACCCAATGTTTAGTACTAAGTTAAGCCAACTGAGAGGTCTTGTGAAGCTCGGTTCCGCTCCGGATTCGGCAGTTGTTTTTTGATTCAAATGTGGATGTTGACCTGAAATGGGGGGATACCATATAGCCCCCAAATGGCCACTTGAACAGGGATGATAAAATATTGTTACTTTTAGGGGTACATTTTTTTTTTGAGAAACCCATCTATAGATTTTAAAATATTATCTATTGTCATATAAGTATGAAAAGAACATTTATCATATATCATTCACTATATCTATTTGGCTGCACGCTTCTTAGAGAAACACCAAGGTTAGACGAGAAACTTTGGCACAGCGCCTCCGTGGATAGCCAGGCGGAACGGCACGGGGGTACCTGAGAGTTCTGTAAGGGAACCCAGCAATTTTGATTGGTTAAATTATGGACAACCCATCGAATTTCGATGGTTTCTTATGGTTTTAAACCTCTTGTGTTCCTCCTTAGCCTTGTTTTCTTAGGTTTAAATTCTCATTTTTAGGCAAATGCATATCCGAGTCTTGGTGATCTATTCATTTAATTCCTTATATATCACCATTGTTGCTGCTTTACCCCGAGTTTGCTAGTTAAATCCTCAAGTAATCTCAGTGCGTCTTGGTTTAGCTGACTAGATGCCTCGCGTGCCGGCGTAGCCTTTGCCTAAAACGATCATAACATATCCCCAGTTTAGCCTTTCTGGGCCGAGGTATAACGCATATTTTGATTTAAGAATAGACCATGAATACATTACTAGCTGGTATTACAGGCTCCCAAAATTCCAACAAAAAACATTGATAGTCATATTTATCACTCATCTGGTTGTCAATAAAAACCAACATTCTTAACCGGTATCCATTCCACAACATGAAGGAATGATGATGATTGTTTTAAGCAGTAATCGCTTTAAATAGTAAAAGAAATTGCAATGAACATCCAGTGACCAGTTTATAGATCAGTCACTATTTTTTTACATAGTGATGATATCGTCACAAGTATATTGGCTATATTGATTAGTGACAGCATGTGACAGCGATTATTCCACGAACGTTGTAAGAAAAAGATGGGTTTAGACTAAATTACTTGATCTAAAACTGTCAACAACAAACTGTCTAGCAACTGTAGGTTTAAACAACAACCAGTTCTTGAGTGCTGCAGAAAAAATCCTATCAACTGCTATTGAGTATAGATAGGTGTCTATCAACCCATCATTGCTAGTTATGAACTGACAATTATCCGACAATCATGTTCAAGCATACATGGGATCCGCTCTAAAATGCGTTCAAATTGTTAAATCCGAAGGACGTAAATAATTGGGCAGTGATGCATTTTAAATCTCACTAGAAAGGGGAGTCCTGTATATATGCAGTGAAATTGTGTCCCTGCACCTTGGCGCTAGGTTTGCGTTAGTGTGGCGCTAGATTTTTTCTTAGCCATTGAGCAATTGAAGTACCCTCTGGTAAACTAACATAACTATGGAAAATCACCATTTTTCATGGGTAAATCAACTATCAATGGCCATTTTCAATAGCTATTTTGACATAACCAGAGGGTAAAATATTGTCAGGCCCAATGCTTTCTCTGCCTCTTGCTCTCTTGCAACTGCTGTTCCCGGTCCAACTCCACAGTAGCCTTTACGTAAACCTCTTTGAGGTTTAATCACCATTAATGGTGATTAATAGGGATTAATGGTGATTAATAGGGATTAAGAGTGATTCATATAGTGATTAGTAGTGATTCATAACAGGAACACAAACTGTGACTTGTGAAGATATGTGAAAGCAGCTGCTTTTCAAGTTTTCACGGCTGGGATAAGCGTAGCTCTGGCGGTAGATCCGCCCGCGCTAGATCCGCGCTGCCTTTGAAAACCCAACAGGACTGTTTGCTTCAAATGCAGCAACGCGACAGACTGCCGGTAGCAGCAATTAAGATAGAAAAACATGAGAAAGCACGATTAAAAACACATTATCAACCTATCAAGAAAAATCACAGTTAATTACATATTAGAATTCTTCCTCCAGCCAACAAAGGCCGTGCGTAACAGGTGTTCGACGGATCACTTTCCACGAAACGTTTGCCATTTTCAGGTTATATTCTAAGTTTCTGGAGGGTATCACTAGTTATTAAAAGATCATTGTCAATCATTGTCCCATACCGGTAAATTCCATAAAATCCAAATAAATCTCAACTTTTGCTGGCAAAATAAAATCACCGCTTTCTTTAGTCAAATCTACATGCATATTTTCTCCGGGTCAAACCCCATCAACATTTATAATCATCATTAATCACCATGGACCGTTAAAGTCTCATTGGAATTCCATTCAAAGCCCATATATCCCCCGACGGTTTGTATGCTGAAACATCTGATGCCCAGGCAGAACAATGGACTCCCATAGGAGTATGTTCCAAGGGTAATCGGCTCGCAATAGTCATATAATTTGTTTATTATCATTAGTCACTTATGAACAGATCACTGTCCCATACCATTAAATCCTGTTCAATCCTCTTCAACCCCAATCGATCACCATTTTTTGCTGGTAAGATCTAAATTATTACCATGGAATCCCATTAAAAACCAATGAACAACTGATATCCCAATAAATAGCCAAATTTGCTAGTAAAACCCATATTGTAAACCATTGAATTCCCTTAACATCCCAATCAAATCCCATTAAATTCCCAATAAATCATCATTTGTTCGATGAATATCCATCTCATTTATCCATCATTTTGGAGATTTCATGCATTTAGCCATCATCATTCACTTGTTTCATCACCATTTTTCCATTCATTTTTCGCAAGTCGCCATCATCACTCCATCCATCATTAAACCCCATGGTGATAAATATTACATTAGATCTCCATCCCAATCATCCCCCTCCATTTCCCATTAAATCCATCATTACTATCCCGTTAATTCATCCATCCATCCATCCATCCATCCATTAACTCTTTTGAAATCCCATTAAATTATCATTTTTGCCGGCTAAATCCATGTCATCCATCCATCACCATCCACCTGTCGTTTCAGGCGCTGCTTGAGCTCCTCCGCGCCACGCCGTCGGATCCGTCGGACCCAGCGGCCCTGTGGCGCCGCTGTGCGCGGCGGCTGGACGTGGCGGAGGCGACCGGTGGAGGGTTGGAGGTGATGGGATGATCATTAGTAATTAGTGATTATTAATAGTGATTGGTGAGTGATTATAAAAGATTAGTATAGAATAAAGTAATCATAAAAGATTAGTAATTAATAATAGTCACTATTAATCACTATTAATAGTGCTTAGTGATTAATTAATAATAATAGTGATTAATAGTGACTTCGTGGTAATTAATGATGATCATTATTAGTGTTCATTAGCCTGAATAATACTGATTGGTTAGTGAATAGTAGTTGGATGATCATGAATAATAGTGATTAACAACAGTGCTTATTGACTTGGTGATTACGTTTGATGACATATTGTGAATCATCATTAATGGCTTTAATTAATGATTCATGATGATGCTAGGGATATCCAAGTTTTTGTTAATGGGATTTGCTGGTGGAACTTGATGGGACTTAACCGAGGGTATGGATTCAGTATGATCCGTCATCTAACAGTGAATTCATGATTACTCTCTGGTAAATTAACATAACGAACTGAAAATCACAATGTTTAATGGGTAAATCAACTATCAATGGCCATTTTCAATAGCTATGTTAAATTACCAGAGGGTAATAATCGTGATTAAAATATACAGATGATTGAGACATGGTTAAGTAAATAGGAAAAATAAATGATGAGGTATAGGTGTGAAATGATGGGGAAAACTTAGATGGCTAGGTAACCGGTACAAGGTGAGCTCCCCCAGGTATAAGTTGGTTTATAAATCCATGAGGTATAGAAATATCATAATATCTACCACAGACCGTGGACCATAGTTATCTCAGATTGGCCAACGGAAATCGCAAGAAGGTGACGCACAGAATTGGTGAAGTGTTGGGTTGATTCGGGAAATGTAGGGGGGTTTAGTAATGGATGTTAATGGGGTTTAATGAATGTGAATGTGCCTTAGGTAATGGGTGCTAATGGGGTTTAAAAACTAACAAACATTCACGGTCATGGGGTGTATAAATCATAAACGAACAGTCATAGTTTTTTGGCGACTTCACCTATACTGTAGTTGTTCCCACAGCCCGGGTGCAAAGCCGAGGAAAGTGAACTGGATGCCGTAGGTGCGGATGGGCATAGGATGGGGATATATTCAGTATAGAATTACAACCCATTGTAATTTCGGGGTACCCCATTTTCAGACAAAACCAAATAGTTTTTTCACATATGAGTGTGAATGTAGCGAGGTATATGTGAATGTTCCCCTTTGTACAAATACATATTAGATGCTGGTTGGTGGTTTCAAACATTTTTTATTTTCCAATATATGGGATAATCCTTCCCATTGACTAATATGTTTCAAGATGGTTAAAACCACCAACCAGGATGTGCATGCATTCTCATGCCTGAACTCCTATTGGTGAGTTTCTCAACAATCGCTTCGCAATCACACACGCACATCCTGATTCGCCGGATGAAATTGTCAGTTTTGCTGGCTAATGTTTTGACTGTGTTTGACTTAGCAATTTTGCTGGTTAACTTTCTATTGTTGTTTTGTTTGACTCGGCATTTTTGTTCAATCACCCATAATGTTGCTCCAATTTTCTAATAACTACCATTTTTCAACCATTGTGCATGTTAACTCCCACGAAGTCCCTATTTGGTTTGCCCAACCCGTGTGCTTGTTGTTTCAATCAGCATAACTTTGCTGGTGAAACAGGCGATGAGCTCCTGAGCCAGTGGCTCAAGCAAAACGAAGAGGGCACATCCGAAGCAGGCGACCGAAGCGACTTAAGAAATCCACAACTTTCGGTTGCCGTGAAGAGTTTGGCATTCCCCAGTTTTGGGGTATGATGGATGGATTGAAGTGAAAAAAACAATTTGGTCTTGGGGGGTTCCTAAAACAGTTTTTCCATGTTTTTCCTGTGGGTTGACTCCAATGAAATGAACCAGAACCCCAAAAAAGTCCCCAAGATGAGTGAATGACACTAGGTGCAACTTTCCAGTCCATGGGGAGGTAACCCCAAAAGCATCATCCATCATGGATGACCATGACTTAGTATTGGTTCACCAACCATGGTGATGTCTGGGGTATCCCCATGACTGGGAAAACCTCCGAAAAAAGTCTAATAGCTCCAGATGGATGAAAGCCATGAAAGCCGTGGCCCGTTTAGTGCGATGATTGGTATACAGGATGGGGCCCCCGTTCGATAGCGTTCAGTTGCCTTAGTTTTGTGGCTGAATTCTATGGTTTATTGTAGATATAACTATAGTATTCATGAGGGTTATACATGGTTATACTGGTTTATAAACCAACCTACAACTGGGGGGGGCCATCCTGTTAATGGGGTTTAAAAATTGTTTAATGAATGTGAATGTGCCTTAGTTAATGGATGTTTTCATGGGGTTTAAAAACCAACAAACATCACTGGGGGGCACCATCCTGTAGCCCCCATTGTTTTTTTATAGCCGGCTAAAGGTGAGAAATCTTTGGAAGCCATGGCCCATTCTGATGATGTATGATGATTTACCGGTTAAGTAACCCGAGGGTAACTCTATATATATAATATATATATATATTTGGTGGTTCCACATAGTGCCATATGACTGGGATGATGATCACAGATACTTGCTTCGTTGGTTGCTGTGCCATGTACCCGGGCTGGATGATGGGAATGTTTTTTGTTTTAATTCGGGTGGCTCCCCCAATTGTCATAATTTGCTATCTGTTTGGTGGTTTGGAACATTTTTTATTTTTCCATCTATTGGGAATTTCATCATCCCAACTGACGAACTCCATCATTTTTCAGAGGGGTAGGTCAACCACCAACCAGCTATTCAATTGTTACCCTTCCAAATTAAAACAGCCCAGGCAGAAAGATCCGGGCTTGATATTACCCTCTGGTAATTTAACATAGCTATTGAAAATGACCATAGAAATAGTTGATTTTCCCATTAAAAATTGTGATTTTCCATAGTTTTTTGTATGTCTACCAGAGGGTATTGCCCATTGATCAAACCGATTGACCCTCCAAGAAGCGAATGGTCTGATATTACAATGTGGGGCCCCTGTTTATGATAGCTAAGTTGGTGAACATATCTCCAACAACCATGGTTTGTGATAATTTCTTATATAGCTATAGAGTTCATGGTTTATGATACCTATAACTTCAATGACTATCTGTTTGGTGGTTTGGAACATTTTTTGTTTTTCCTTCTTTTGGGAATTTCATCATCCCAACTGACGAACTCCATCATTTTTCAGAGGGGTAGGTCAACCACCAACCAGATAGTTATTAACAATCATTAAGCATATAATAACCATTACCATTAACCATCATCATTAACCATATATCAACTTCAATGACTATAGTTTGAAACTATTAACCATCATCATTAACCATATATTAACCATCATCATTAACCATATATTAACCATATATTAACCATATAATCACCATATATTAATCACCATTAACAGTATATCTATGTTTTTTTTGGTCGATATCTACTGTTCCCCACCACACGGAGAAATCTGTTTCACCGCCAGGTTCCAGCAGCCTATTTCCCAGCAGTGGCACCTTGGAGGATTCTTTTGTTGATCCGGAGGTCTTGAGGTTTTTAAAGATGGCTGGGAAATCCCTTGAAGAAAATGGTGAAAAAAATAGGTGGGATTCTCTTAAAACATGGCATAAAACATAGTTAAATCACCAACTTACACCAACTCAGCTATCATAAATCAGCTAAATCAGCTATACCCTCTGGTAAACGTTTACATAGCTATGGAAAATCACTATTTTTAATGGCTAGTTCAACTATAAAACTGGCTATTTTCAATAGCTATGTTAGTTTACCAGAGGGTAAAGAAAACGGTGGAAACTATAGGTGGGGTTTTCTTAAAACGTGGCATTTCTATGAAACCTTTATGGTCTTCATAAATGGGGAGATGATGGTGATTTCCTCCCAATACAAGGCGGATTCATGAGGATGTGAATGGGGATGTACTGGAGATATAAGTGGCAACCTAGCTATTCTCATTTGTGTGATTGATTACCTTGTTTAGGAAGCCCACGAAATGGGATTTTTGCTGTTGCAATTGGGTTACAACCTCACTTGTGAGTTACATCCAGTGGTCACCCTTCAAATGCGGAGGTTCAGCCAGCCAAACATGGTTTGCAACCATCAGAGTGTTGGATTTCCACAACCAGAATTGCATTTCAGCAGCAAGACTGGTGGATGTCCCTTCGATGGGTGTTATCTGATTGGAATTTGTCTATTGCCCGAGGGTAATCATTCCTGCCAACTCCTGAATTGGTCCCTGATTTATTTCAGGTGATAGTACCACGCATCTTGGTCAGATTTCCATCTCTTTTCACTTGCATCTCGATCGTTGGTGATTACATCCGCCTCCAATGCTGATCCCTGTCTAGAAAGATGGTGACAGTGATGACTTACAACCTCATCAACCTCACCCCAAAACACGCACAATGAACGAAGTGGATGGTAACGGATGGTACACATTTTGAAGTACTGTAACTATGTTCTAAAAATGTTCTTCGAAATACATGTTTTTCTCGAAAGAAAGATTATGAAAATAACCATCATAGAACATTTGTGCATGATCTTTGAACATAATTAGATTATGAGTATATAATGGCTGGTAAATGTTCCAAACGAATGAACCAACCACAACCTCCGAAGCAAATTTCTTCATTTCCCATAAGTTCACCATTATTTTTCACTGGACAGTCCATTGGTTAATCCATTGGAAAATCCCTAGGTTAATTCACATATAGGGAGGTTTCCTGAAATGGGAATACCCCTAAATCAATCTAAATCATCCATTGGTTGGTGGTTTGGAACATGTTTCATTATTCCATATATTGGAAATAATCATCCCAGCTGACGAACTCATATTTTTCAGAGGGGTAGGTATACCGCCAACCAGTCCATTTATAGATGGATTCTCATAGGAATATCATCAACCCATCCGGCGGTAAAGGGGTACCCCCATGACTATGGAAACCCCCGTGACTATCGCTGGTGACACCCCCGCCCCAGGTATCTCGGCACCGCGCCGGGGCGATCTGCTCCTCACCGGAGCGCATGCCTTTGCGGCGGGGACGCAGCAGTTCCTACACAAGGCGAACCCATCAGTAGCGGCAGAGATCTAATGGCAGAGTAGTCATTATAATGATTTTTATAGTTATTAATTGTAATATCATGATGGCAGTAATCTAAATATTATAGTGATAATGATTGCTATTAAAAACAATCTGATATTATATATAGTTATAGTTGTTTTAATCATTTGGTTACAATCAACTATAATCGAAGGAAGTTTAGAAGTCAAACTTCCGACAAAATGGACAGATGAAAAGCAGAGATGGACAGGGTCAGAGAGAAGAGAAGAGTAGAAGAGAGAAGAGTAGAAGAGAGAAGAGTAGAAGAGAGAAGATCAGAGAAGAGAAAGAGTCAGAAGAAAGAAGATGCAGATGCGCGAAAAGGTATGAAAGTCGCGAAACACAATGATTTGTGGCTCCGGAGGGTCGAAAAGTAGGCTCGCCAAAGCGGCAACTGGCCAGATGAGAGATGGAAAAGTGCACGCCGTTGTGGCGCGAAGCACATTTCCAAGCCAAAATGTACAAAACACCTCAGCTTCGGACCGCTTTTGGAAGTTGGGATGCCGAAAAAGGGTACGCCGTTGTGGCGCGAAGCACATTTCGAAGTCAAAATGTGCCAAGCACACCATGTACGGACCACTTTTGGACGTTCAAATCTCGTCTCGCGTGGCAGGCGCAAGGGATTGTGCACCTTGTCAAAAGTGAGCAAAACGAAACTGTAGCATTTCCAGAAACGATGGCAGGCGTGGGACATATGTGAAGAGGATCTGCAAAGATGCATTTTCCGTGGCAGGAGCAGTACAAGAGACATCTTCATCGGAGCTGTTAGGAGGCGAGGGCGCTGATTTCCTGAGAGAGGTTGCATTTTGGAGCATCAGATCTTCAGGTTTGCTGAGATGATTTTGCGTGACAGGTGCAACACTTCGTATGACCTGGCATCACTTTTTCGTGGCAGGCGCAGTACTTTAGACAGGTGGGGCTAAAAAATCGCAAAACGCATTGGTACGAGGCCGTCAGCTCTGCACTCAACTTTCCATTTTTGCAGGAAGTCTCGCAGAATTGCTTTGTTTTTGATGGTCAAGTTCAAAAGCTGAATAAGTCTCGCAGAATTGTTTCGTTTTGGATGTTGTCCAGTTCAAAAAATGAATCTCCCAGAATTGCTTCGTTTTTGATGTTGTCAACTTCGCAAATTGAGGAAGTCTCGCAGAAGAGCTTCGTTTTCAAGCTTGCAGATAGACAGATAGATAGACAGACAGACGGGCAGAGATAGATAGATAGATAGATAGATAGATCTATCTAGATAGGTAGATAGATAGATAGATAGATGGATGATTGGTAGATAGATAGATAGATAGACAGATAGATAGATAGATAGACAGATAGACAGATAGACAGATAGACAGATAGACAGATAGATAGGTAGATAGATAGATAGATAGTTAGATAGATTAGGTAGATTAGATAGATTGGATAGATTAGATAGATTAGATAGATTAGATAGATTAGATAGATTAGATAGATTAGATACTGTAGATTAGATACTGTAGATTAGACAGATTAGATAGATTAGATACTGTAGATTAGATAGATTAGATAGATTAGATAGATTGGATAGATTAGATAGATTAGATAGATTAGATAGATTATATAGATAGATAGAGAGAGAGAGATAGATAGATAGATAGAGAGATGGACAGATAGACAGACAGACAGACAGACAGATAGATAGATAGATATATGGATAGATGGATAGATGGATAGATGGATAGATGGATAGATGGATGGATGGATGGATAGATAGATAGATAGGTAGATAACTGGATGAATACGAAACAGAGTCTACTGGCAAAAATCAGACGAGCACGGAGATGATTCAAGCGAAGCACCAAATGCCGAAAGTGATCAGTCAACAAAATTCGAAGCGTCTACAAGTCAGCTTTTGAGCTGCTGATTGATGCCGCACACCACGCGCCCAATTTGGGGAAAGAGTATGTTGAAATGGCGCACGCTTCTTAGCGCGGCTCTTGTCAGCGTGTCGGACCCCTGCTCAATCTATGGCGTGGGGAACATCTGCAAAGGAGCAGAAGTGCCAGTCATTGCTAGCTTGAGTGCAACTTTCTCTCTGTACGTCAACGCTGTCAAGCTGGCGCTGCAGCCGGTAGACAACGCTCTCGGTGCGTACTATATGCCTATTGTGGCATCATTTCCCTTCATGTCGCCTAAAAGAGCAGGCTATCTTGCCTTGATAGGCGCGTTCGCACGCTGGCAATGGTTGACATGGGTGATAGCCGTTCTTACTCTCTCGCCTGCCCTGTTGGTCAGAGTGATAACCAGGCGCCGCCCAGGTGTTGGATGTCACTAACTCTTGTTGTGACAGTTGCATGCGCAGATACGAGCACAAGCAGCAACAGCTATGTTTCCCTGTATTTTGCTATTCCAATTTTCTACGCAGCGGTAAGCGCTTTGCAGCGCCTACGAAGACAACGACAAGCGCAGAAGGTTGGACTGCCTACATCCCCGCTTCTAGAAGGGTGCTCCACCCCAGAGGAGGCATCCCAAAGAGCATTGCTGATATGCAAGGAATTTCTCTGTGCACCATTTGCTCACACAAGGGTTATACACCGCCTAGTAGGCGCAGGAATTACACGAGACGCTGCAACCAGATTGTTTTTTGAGGTATCCCAACGAACATGGGTTATTGAACATGGCCCATTTAGTTTGTTGATTGACCTATGAACGATGCTGATTTTCCAGTTTGTTACATTAGTTTACCAGAGATCTAATTTGGGTTGATGATTAGAATCAACCAAAACAGGGATTCTAACATATTCCAAGTATCAAAATATGAGGATATCATGATATCTATGTGAATCTAACTGATGAATGATGGTCCGTTGAGAATTCGTCTGGGATTATCCCAATGCCTGGGGGATTATCAGAATCAACGGGGAATCCCGTTACCAACAAGTAAGAGGGCCGACACAACGGGTGAACACTGCTCAGTTGTAGCAATTGAGCAGTGCCCAACATCGCCATTGGTAGATTGCCTGGTTAGTGGTTATAAATACTAGGCATCAGAATGGTTGATTAGCGATGCCATTGGATAATAAATGACGCTTGGTTGAAGAGTCTTTTGCCCAAAACTTAGAGGATCTAGCTCCAAAATGGCTCCAAAATCAGGGACTGGTTGGTGGTTTGGAACATTTGGATTATTTTTCCATATATTGGGAATTTCATCATCCAAACTGACGAACTCATATTTTTTCAGAGGAGTAGGTTGAAACCACCAACCAGATAGTTATTAACCATCATGAAAACCATATCATAACCATTATAACCATTAACATTTACCATTATTAAGAGTATATGAACCACAGTATAATACCATATATACCAGGTGTCTCCCCAAAATGCCTGAAAAATGGCCAGGGATTCTCCCCACAATCCCACTGAGGCCATCCTGATTGTGCTGACAGTGGATGGAGATGAGGCCACCCGGCTGGGCAAAAACGGCCGTTAAAACATCGCAGTAGAAGTGATCATGCAAGGGAAGTGATGATAATACTTAAGGTAAAGATGAAGATGATGATGAAGAAGAAGAAGATGAAAATGAATATGATGATGATGATGATGATGAAAATGAAGATGAAGATGAAGATGAAGAAGATGATGATGATGGTTCTGATTATGATTCTGACTCTGATTCTCATCCTCGTCATCGCCATCATCGATCGCCACCGAAACACTCGGACATGCCAGCTGTTATGTTTATTTATTTTTACATGCAAATACATGTCACAATGTGCCATGTCATGTGTTGTTTGTTGAAATGTAAAATTATTGGAAGGCCCAACAACCAGCCATGCCCATTTAATGTCTGTTCCGGCATTGCATAAGTCATTGCCTCGTTTTTAACACATAAAGTAGGACATAAATGGAGTAGAGATATGCGCTCACGCCACCATGGTAGAAGTTGTTTGACTGTCTATCCATTTGTTGGTGCTTTATGTTCAAATGCAGTTTTCTCTTCAATCCCTATTCGAGGTGCTGATTTCAATGACCGTAGGCCGTAGGATTTTAGACGATGAGTTGCAACATGTTGTAACTATCAATCAGCCCATGGGTATTCCCACTCGTTTGATGAAAGTACATTGGGGTGTTGGACAAACGAATTGCAAATGGTCAACAAGCCATGTTGATACCGGGGTATATTCTGTACAAACATGTGGGAACCAATTTGACTACGCACTGGATGCAGCTGGGATGCATATCCAAACAATTCGTCGTGAAGTGAAGAAAGTAGAGTATGGAAGTCTAAGGAGTAGAGAAGTGAAGATAACAGAGAAGTAAATCTTAAGTAGAGAAGTGAATACTAAGATCAACATCACATTGAATTATTAATTCATTGACAACATTCTAGCTGTATTTCAGAAATTCATTCCACCTGGTTTATTATTGGGAGAAAAGGTATAAATTACAACCCATCAACAGGAATACCGGAATACCTTTCAACCAACCAGTTTCACCGGACAACAGAGCATACTACTATTCCACAATCACCGCAGAGATATTACATGAGTCATTGGGGTTTTATGCATGTGGGTAAAAATATACCATGATATGTATCAGCAACCGGCATTACTGTAACCATATTTTTGGCAATTACTATTAACAATTAACAATTATTAACCAATCATTAAGAATATTAACCATATATCAATCAAATATTAACCAAACATATAATTATATATATATATATTAATCATATATTGTAATAACCATATATATATATATCTATAATAATATTTATTTAAAAAAAAAACATATTGACCTGACCTTTTAAGTTAATTATACATCATCTGAATTGATCATAAAAGCCATTCATAACTACAATGTGAGGCCCCCAGTTATAAGTTGGTTTATAAGCCCCAGTAACTATAGTTATAAATGCCATAAACCATTCATCCCTATAGTTCCAGACTCCGCCAGGTCCTGGCGCTGTGTCTCAACCGCCCCGCGCCGCAAGCCTCGCGCGCGTCGCGCGCGAGTTCTCCGCGGGCCGCGTCACGGGCCCCGCGCGGCTTTGGGGCGGCGCTGAGCCGTTCGCGCCGCCAGGTGACCCGTTTTCAACAGCTGTGCCCAGGATTTCCATGGAAAAATAGGGGATATTCATAGGATTCATTATCCTCTGGTAATAGTTAGATGGGCCATGGAGTTAGTTAACTATAGTTAGTAAGTGAATTATAATTGGGATATATTGGGAAAAAAAGGGGGTAACAAATCCCCAGTTACTAACCAGGAATCGCTAATCCCATGGCCCATAGGATTTTTCAGGCACTTGGGATTGATATTCAATTGCATATTTCCCAACATAAAGCGAGAATCACCAATGCAATTAGGTCAAACACACATCAATCATTGAAGGAACTGGGCCATGGTTTCTATAGCTATGTTAGATAAACAGAGGACAATAGGATCAAGCAAGGAACCATATGGTTTATAGTTTAAAATAATATCATGGGAGATAGAAGACCCAATGCGACTTGAAGCGTTTTTGGCGGCTGAATAACCAACCCAAAAAACGTGGTTTTACCACCAAAAATTGGAATAGTGGTCACGCAAAATATGGACTTGACCATCGAACAATTGGAATTTCATGATTTTACCAACAAAAGAATTGATATGAATTGATTATTGAACCAGCAACAATTGGGTTTTAACCATCCAAAATTCATATATGTGCTAGTTTTTGGACGATTTGCATTGCGTGAGTAAAGAACTGTGCCCTCCGGCAATCGAACACGGCAAGTGAAAATCCCGATTGAAGGCGAAGATTTTCCGATTGAAGCATATCTAAATGCCCATCTATACTAGATTGTCCAGCATGTTTGATGGGTACCCATCCGATTTATGTGTTGGTGATCGGGTGATCGTGGACTCGTGGACCTCCCTGCAAGGATTCGTCAGAGGATGCCACTGTGCACTTTGGTGGGGACGAGGAGAGCGGTTGGGCCATGGTTTCTGTCATCCCGCACAGGGAGTCCAAACATCCTGTGCCTATCAATCTCCACTGATGGATCGATGAGCATTCCCCATTTGGGTATACAATCCAACTCTTGACCGGCTGGCACATTTGGGTGTCTGAACCTAGTGTATACCCTCCACATGGCTACGTCTATAGGGAAAGTGATCACAACCAATGGGATTTTTTGAGTGCCAAAATGTTCAGCGAAAGCCTATTTGCTCATTTTTCGGATTGACTCCTCGCAAAAAAAAACACAGAGGAAACCCACAAGGTGGTGCCCCAGTTTGTTAGCTAAGTTGGCGAACATAACTCTCATAACTATGGTTTATGGCAGATATAACTATAGTTAATGGGGTTTATAAACCAACGTTCACATCACTGGGGGGCACCATCCTCTGGCTATGATGATCATTTGTGATTGGCCAAGAAACCAGAAACGATGAGGATTCAATGACCGCTGGAGTTATGATGTATTCACAGAGTGCAGCTTCAAATTGAGGGATGCAGTTTCTGATTCAATCGTCCATCTAGGTATCACCAATGTGCACCACTATGGTTTCAGATTGAGATCGATTGTCAAAAAGACGTTCACCAAAAAAAAATCCCTCTTGTAATCAGTCATGGTTTCCTGGAAAATCCCACTTGTATAGGTAAACCTTGGATGGGTAGCTCAATCCTTTAATCTGTTGCTATTGTAACTCGAATATCCGCTAACCCGCTAACAAAGTATTTTTTGTAGGGTATCTGAGATTAACAATCCCAGATGCTCCATGTATGGAATATCCACCTGCATGTGTATACATTTGTGCCATTTTGGGGGTAAATGTAGGTAAATATTCCATACATGGAGCATCTGGGAATGTTTGGTAAATCCCCACATTTAGTTCGATGATTCTCCGATCGACCCCAGCTAGGTTCGGTGATTTTCCTAGCGACGTTTCGGCCTTTTTGCACGAGGACTTTGACCGTTGGACCTGTTTGTCCCCAGGCGGTTTTTGCACCTGGAAAGCCACCACAGCTGCTTCGTAATGGGAGAATACTGGGAGAATAGTGGGAAAATAGCTGGGTAGTAGTGGGATTTACAAGTACATAACCATGCAGTGGATATTTTTACGAATGGCTATTTTCACACCAGGTGTTTGGTTCATGTATCGTGGCGGAAATCAAACATGGTTGGCTCCTCTATAATTGCGGGTTTTAGGGTAAGATCAGCCCTAAATGGCGACTTGTCCAGCAAGCCGTGGAGCTGATTCCCAGCGAGTAAGATTCAATTCGCCCTAGAACCAACCGTTTAGTATTGGATTTGTTCATTTTTGGGGCGCATTTAGGTATTTACATTCATTTCCTATTAGGATCTATTGGGCAGATCGGATGATTGTCACCATCTTGGTGGAGTTTCCAGTAGTGGCGGCTCTTGCCCATATGGCCTCTTTTACCAGGTCAAATCTCCAAATTGTTGCTGGTGAAATCCCAAATTATCTTAGATTCTTAGCATTGAAAGCAACAGTTTTTTGTCAGGTCAAATCTGTTTTCGGGGGGGTTCAATCCCCACATTTGAAATTCTGGCGAAATCAAAACTGTTTGTCGGTCTAATTGCAATTGTGCGGATGAATCAGATCCTTGTCATTTTTTGCCAGATGGGTTAAAGCAACACTTTCGCTGGGTAAATCTACATGTTTGTTGTTTTTGCCAGGTAAATTTTATTTTGTTGTTGGTGAAACTCCATGGTTTCCAGGCTGTTCAATCATGCCAATCCCTTTTGTTTGGGTAAAATCCACATGTTTCTTCGACGAAAACTCCATCCATTCACAGGTGAAAGTCACCATGACGCCACCCCACTGGGTGACAGCGGCTTGTGGTGGGTCCGTGACGCCGCAGAGGTGTGGGTCTCTAGTGCTGCCAGGGGCTGCAGGTATCCAAAAATAATGATGAATAGCCATCAATATAGTGATTAACAAGGAGAAATATATAATGATTAATTAATTAATTAAGTTAATTAATGAATTAAGAATGATTCACTTGGATTTGCTGAAGATGATTTGGCTGTATTTGGCTTCTTTCCCCAGTGTCACTGGGACATCTTTTTTTTGCGGAGAATCTATAGGGAACTGTTGCTTTGGGACCATCTTGAGCAAATCCGAGAAATTCGGAGATTGTGTAGTCCAGAATGGTGGAAAACTATGGGAACCATATATCTGGTTAATAGTGATGGTAGGGTATAAACCAACAACAATGGGAATATGATTGTTATATACTGGTTGGTGGTGACTGGAACCACGGAATTTTGACTGACTTTCCATATACTGAGAATGTTAACCCCAACTGACGAACTCATATTTTTCAGAGGGGTTCAAACCACCAACCAGGAAGTAATTTCAAATACAACTTCCAGCAACAAAATAAGGGTACTGTACTGGGCCCAAATAACTTGGGCTTGAGGTTCCGTTCTCATTTCGAAATTTCAATCACACAAGGAGTCTGTGAGGAGTAGGTTCTATTTTGGGGGGCTCCTCGGCAAAAACGAACAAGACTGGGAAAGCAAGCAACCTACATTGGGATTTGTTTAGTCTTCCAACAGCAGCTACAGAAGGAATACACAATCGAACCGGCAAATGCCCCCGCCATTTTTTCCCAAACAACATTAGGACCCCTTCAAAACAGATCAAAACAGCAACTTTGCATTCTTCAGTCGTTAGTTTAGATCATAATCTAGTTTTACAACTTTGGTTCCAAGCATGTATTCTCTGAAATTCTCTGGCAATCTAAGATGGCAATGGAGAATCACCTCGAATCACCTCCGTCGCAGTGAGGCATGGAGAACCAGAAGGCGCGACTCCCCGACAATGAGGCTAAAAGGATGTAGTCTGTAGCTATCCTCCAAAGATAAAATAATTGTTTACAATATGTCAGTTGAATTTTGATGTTCTAATAGTTCTATCTTTTTGGGCGTGATTTAAATTATAATGGGACAAGCAAAAGCTGGAAGAATTCTGCCCGATTCTGCCCGGTGACGGTGCCGAGATACTTGGAGGATCATCCCACGGATCGTAAGTGGTTAGTAACTGGACTGATAACCCATGTATAAATTAGAATAACTTGGATAATCCACTTAGGAACCAGCAACTTTTCACCACTGAGACTTGAACTGGGCAATGGAAAACATCATTTTAGAGGATTGTTACCCTCTGGTACACCAACATAGCTGTGGAAAATTACCATGTTTAATGGGAAAACTCACTATAAATGGTCATTTTCACAAGCTTTTGCTTTTTGTATGTTTACCAGAGGGTACTGTGATGAGGTCATGATTTGCAGTTCCACTTCCTATGCGAATCTGGGTAAATGACATGACGACCTCATGTCGCGACCTCACTGGAAATCATAGTTAGATTGTGTCCCAAAATGGCCGAACAATTCAGGTTAGTGAAATATTGTAATCTACCCAGATGCATGGTTGTAATATGCGAGATGTTGCACCGCCAGATTACCAAAGGTTTCTGTCCGCATCAAAAACTAAAGGCGTTTGGCTTGCGCGAATCTGATGTGTCCAAAAAGATGTTTCTTTATTTGGATCACTCACACTGATTTGAGTTTCCTTCCTGACACTCCTCGCTAGTCAGCGCTTTCAAACCCAATGTGGATAGTAGAGAACAATTTGGTATATCTATTTCAACTTAGACATGTATCTATACAATATCTGAATAAAGCATTTGATGGCAAGCAATGTCATGTAATTACGTATCACTTTTTTCGAAGTGTCACAAGCATGAAGACACTGAAATGCCTGAACACCTTATTTTCACTACTATTGGATGAATAGCAGAGCGTATTGCTTTACAAGGTGTTACTTACAAAGGGACAGGTAGAAACATTTATGGTAACTTATGTTGATAAATGTTGGACTCAAGGTTGGTTAGGATCTCTGTTGGGTGCTTTAGATACTCATAGATAATAGATACTCTTTTATCCTGTGTGGAAGAACCCATCAATGAAACGCGCAATTTGAACTTTGGTGTGTGTGATGCAGTTAGGGAAATCTGGCACCCATCCAGCTGCTCCAGCCCATCTACTAAGCTGAACAAAAGCTTGAGTACCGACTCTTCCGTTTGTATGTCACCTATTTGCGAAATATACTGTATATTGTTGGTTAGCACCATGCGTATTCAATCAATACTGTATCCTCAGGTTGGTACACCAAATAGTTAGTAGTAAACCATTCATATGGATTGATCATATCCCATTAACTCACCATTCTGGTTTCTTTAATGGATACGGTGTATATATATAGTTCATGGATATTCATATCCCCAGACTTTTGCCTCGTTGAGGTAATCTCAGTTCGAACGAGAAGATTAATTCCTGGTTTAGTTTTGCTAAATCCCAGATTTAGGTGAGTTAAGTCTCAATTTTAGGTTGCTTAAACTTGGATTTCAGCAAACGGATCGTTTATTTTGAGTGGTAAATCCGCTGATCATCTACTAGATGTTTCTATTTTTGCTGCAATTTTAGATGGATCCCCAGATCTTCAGATAATACCCCAATTGATTACTTTTGCTGATTTTTTTCAGCACATCCCCAGATAATCCTCCACGAGATCCCCAGATCTTCATGATCTTCGCGGCACAGGTTGTCCCCTTGCAACATGCTCTTCGCGCGCGGCGCCGTTCGCCTGGGGCGCCTGGGCAAGGAACCCCCATTTTTGGGTCCTGAAATTCCTTTGCCTTGACTTTATGATATTCCCAGTATATATATATATATATACTTGGAAGTGCAGTTCCAGTTGTAAGTCGATACTATATATATATATAACCCATATAGTTATAGGGGTTATATCTATCCATATGTTAGTGTACCCTCACTGCACCCTCAAGTTGGAAGTGCGTCCCACTTGGTAGGTGGTTGATTACCCATATGTAACCCATATAAGTGAGGATATTCCATTTATAACTGGGGTGTAATATGGTTATTTTCCACTTACCAACTGGAATGCACCCCCTAGCACCCTTTGGTAATTTCACAGCTACAGATAATGCCTTATGTAATGATTTTTAAAACATCCAAAAAGCGTGAATGTTGAATTACTAGGTTATGGGATGTAACCAGGAGAACCTGGGAGTTTCGGATAGATTGAAAAGCACAACCAGCGATGATGGGGAAAGCCTGGAAACAACAGGTGTAGCAGTTACAGCCAACTATATTTGGGACGTGCTAGAATACAACTGTTTGGTGGTTTGGAACCATGGAATTTTATGACTTTCCATTCAGTTGGGAATAATCATCCCAACTGACGAAGTCATATTTTTCAGAGGGGTGGCTCAACCACCAACCAGACAAGGTGGTGCCCCATAGTTACCCCAGTTGACGCACATAACTTGGTCAACGATGGTTTATTGTATGTGTAAGTATAGTACTGGTATCTGCTCTTGCCCGGTGGGTCTGTGAACCTCTTCTGTCCGAGTATTTCGCTCGAAAACGTTCATATTAATGAGGCATCCAACTACTTATGAACAATGACGACCATTGCCCTTGTCTTGATTGCAATGGCCATCAACCATGACAAGTTGGCCAAAATGTTATTCTCAGATTCGGCGGCGATCGCATCAATGGTGGTGATGGGCTTGTCGACCGGATTGATGACCAGAGAACAATTTGGACCTGAAGAAACACCTGCCGGGGATGACATATACGCGCAGACGGCCGAAGAGTAGGCAGCTAGGCCGCAGTTGATTTGTCTTCGGACGAACTGAGCGGCGCTGATCGTAACGCCTTGATTGCATACATGACTGATTGGTGGTTTGGAACATGTTTTTATTTTTTGGGAATAATAATCCCAACTGATTTTCATATTTTTCAGAGGGGTAGATATACCACCAACTAGATGAGGTCAAGTATCACCGGAGAGATTACTCTGAAGGACACTATCTTTCGTGGTATTGCCATAATCCCCTGAGTGCTGATGAAGTGTGAATGGCTTTATAAACCAAGTTATAACTGAGGGGGCACCACCTTGTATTGTTTGGTTGAAGATAAGTTTCAATATTGATTGCAAGTTTGTCTCGGGGTTGAATATCTGCAATGGGTCATGGAGGAAGAGTTTGGGATGGTTTCACACTTGAGCTCACTTGAAAACCCGAAACCACCCTTCAGTTTTGAGGGTTTCCTTTTACCCTCTGGTAATTTAATATAGCTATTGAAATGACCATAGAAATAGTGGATTTACCCATTAAAAACAATGATTTTCCATAGCTTTTTGTATGTTTACCAGGCCGGGTAAACATGAGGGCAAACAAAGAGCCATTCCATCCGCTGAAGTGGAGCATAGGGCCAACTATTGACATGTTTTAAACACCAGCTGCTGGCCAGCTAGAAACAGAAACCTATCGGACCTGGGGGCCTCTTCCTGTAGGGATATGAAACAATTACTGTATATATATATATATAAACATATGCTGGTTGAATCTTGATCATTGTTCTGCCAAGGAGTTTGGAGCTGGAATTGTGGCAGAGACGCGGCGAGGCATCACATTTTTCGCGGGAATTTTCTGGGGTAAGCCTGGCTGAAGGGTTGGTAAACCAGCAGAAATTGAGCTTTTTTTTGGGGGGGGGCTGCAACAATTCGGACCTTGAGGCAGAGAATTGATGTGATATGCAAGTTGATTCAGTCACTGCACATCCAGTGACTGCATCCACTTCCCCAGCCAGTGACTGCATGCGCAGATGATCTTAGCTAAGACGTTAAAGACCAGCTGCCGGTACAGTCAAAGACTGTTGTGGAGGAATATGTCATCAGTACGAAGTAGGTTTTTTAGGCATCTACGATTGTTGACTTTTTCCCATAAAAGCTCATGATAGCACCATACCATTACTTTAAATGGGCCATGGCATTAGAACTATCTCCCCACTCATGGCCTATTTATATACTACCATCTACCCAGTCAAGCAACTCGATGGCCCATCTAAGATCATCTAAGTAGATATATCACTGTATCGCGTACCTGTTTGCGTCAGCTACACATAATCATACCACAATGTAATTGCTGGATAGATTATAGCCATAGCATCATAATTGATGAGTAGATTGTACCTATCTATGGTGAATATTCCCATCATCTCACCATTATTTTTTTAGATATGGTTGGTTATGGATATATGACTTATGTATCCAACAAGGTGCCCGCAAAGGTGAGGTTCGTCGGTTTATAAGCCCCATCAACTAGTCCAATATATCTATGACAAACGCAACGAATTTAAGCCTATGCTGGCCTACGGCACTGTTTACCAGCTTACCTTGCATAATAGCAACCCGCAAAAAGATAGAGCTCGCAGCAAAATCTCCATTACCCACATGATAAATCCCATTAAATCACCATTTTGCTGGTAAAAATAAGTAAGATATCAGATACAATGTGAGGCCCCCCAGTTATAAGTTGATTTATAAGCCCCAGTAACTATAGTTATAAATACCATAAACCATAGTTATTGGACTTGTAAACCAACTTAGCTATCTTGGGGGCCTCACATTGTATCCATAGATATCCTAAGATCACATGAAATCTCCATGACTGTCCTGTGATTTCTTTGCAGATGGGTCTGGTGCGTCACTGGAGCCCCAAGCTGCGCGACGTTTTGAGCGCCTGTTGCAGCTACGAGGGCCCCGGAGCTCGGGGGGTTCGTGGCTCGGCGATCGGCCCCCCAAAAAGGAAAACGGGCCATTTGAAAAGGGAAAGACCATGACTATTGATTGATTATATATATATATATGTATATATATATAATATTTTATCATCTATTGAATCTATTTATTGATTGATATCTATTGATAGATTGGGTTTATCCATGGCTGTAGTTTTCCTATGATTTTCCCATTTCAATATCCATGACTATAGATTTTCCATGACTATTGATACTGTCAATGGGATTTTTTTCAGGATCCTAAAATGGAAGTACTTTAGTACCATATAAGGCTAATATGTTTGGCCATATTTTGCTGGGATATTCCCTGAAATTAAGGCCTGAAAAATAGGCCTTATATATGGTAGGTACCTCCAATTTAGGTTCCTGAAATGGCCATTGATACTGGTTGATGGTTTGGAACATGTTTTATTTTCCATTTTTGATATGGGATGTCATCCTTCCCATTGACGAACTCCTATTTTTCAAGATGGGAAAGAAACCACCAACCAGTTTTTAATGGGAATATAATCTATCCAGATGTGATATTCTGGTTAATGATGGTTAATCAATTGGACCTACCATATTAACTTGGGTTTATTATGCTATACTATTGATTCATAGTGATTTAATGCTGGATTAACAGTGGATAAACTAGTGGGATTTGCTGAAGATGATGATTTTTTGGCATTTTCCCAATGGGAAATCCACTACTTGTGATATGTTTTTCTTTTGGGGGGTCCTTAAGCAAATCCAAGTATAACTGGTTGGTGGTTTGGAACATTTGGATTACTTTTCCATATATTTGGAAGAATAATCCCAAGTGACGAACTCATATTTTTCAGAGGGGTAGGTATACCACCAACCAGATTATTATTAACCATATATTAACCATATATTAACCATATGTTAACCATATATTAACCATATATTAACCATATATTAACCATATATGAACCATATATTAACCATATATTAACCATATATGAACCATATATTAACCATATATTAACCATATTGTTCATTTATTAATGGATAACCAAAAAATCTGGTATTTGAACAAGCCATTCCCCCATTCACATTCAACACCCCCAGAAACCTGGATGTAGGGGATGAACCATATAGGCTTTCCAAGTGGGTGAGTCTGAGAATGAGGTATAGCACCCCAGGGAAAACCCATGATTAACTAGTGGATTGAGGGTAATTACCAAATTTTCAGACAAACACATCTGGTATGTGCATACAATGAGAGTTGTTGTGATATATCCTAGAAATGGATAAACAACAATTGGTTTTATTGTTGAAATATTAGATCAGTTCATATCTGGATATATACTGTAATGGGATATATAATTAATGGGATAAATAATGGGATATATAATGGGAATATATTGGAAAATATGTATATACGACCCCTGAAACACAATGAATTTACCATCAAAAAAGGACAATTGACGGCCAAAACATGGTGGTATAGTTGTGGCATAATGGTGGTTTTTGATGGAGATAAGGCCAGTTGATTCAACGGTCAATAGGGTTTTTTCATCGGATAATTTTTTAGATGACTCTGGGATAATGGTGAGACAATGGTGAGATAATGGAATATACCCTCTGGTAAACTAACATAACTATGGAAAATCACCATTTTCAATGGGTAAATCCAACTGTAAATGGCAGTTTTCAATAGCTATGTTAAATCACCAGATGGTAATTAAACAACGCGTATCAATATTTTTGGTGTATATTGATATCCATTGTTTATATTTCATTGTTAAGATATATATATATTCCACAATGGAAGAACGGTGTTTAGATAACGGAATGTGTATGTATATAAATGTATATATATGTATATATTATATCACTATTATTAAGGTACACCATTATATAATGGAATATATATATATATACACCATTCAGATACTATTCAGTTCTTGGTTTTCCTTGTGGATTGAACCAAAATAAAGCAGACATATTGGGAGTGGGAGTTCAACTTGCAAGCAGTTGTTAGATGCTGTTAGGACGTGTAGTGTAATTTAAGCAACAAAATGGGAGTGCAACCAACAATAAAGGTTGAGAATTTACCAGTTAAGCAGCAAACACATGGAATTAAACTAACAAAACGTTGCTATCTAAGTAACAAAAAAGTGGGGGTTCAAGCAGCAAAACATTGACAGTTGCGACCCAAACAGTTCATGTCCAATAATTGTATCCCCATCACCCTATCAACTGGTTGGCTTACCCCACTATTGTTTGTTCAATACCACAGTTTACCTGCCCAAGAATTCATAGATTGACCAGTGATTTTGAGCATTTAGCCGTCAGGAGTTTAAGCAATTATACCGAAATGAATGACGCCCACCAACAAGACTCAATAATGTTTTTTGTTCCGAGACATGGGTTCATCCGAAAATTGGTGTTGCATGAAATAGCTCTATAACTACACACTCAAAAGTTGCACCCTCCACCCAACTAACATAACCCCTGTCAGAACAGGGGGTTGAACGGCTATTTTCGAGTAACGATGGCAAATTCTCAGGGTTTTTGTTAGTTGGGTGGGGGGGAATGGTAATTTCAACAGTAATATGATGATCATCACCTTTTGTTGGGGGCTTCATTGTTGAAAACTGCCGCTAATAAGTTAAGTGTCGGTCCCAAGCTGGGAAAATCCACTATAAATGGTGATTTTCAATAGTTATGTAAACATTTACCAGAGGGTAGTGGTGGTGGTTGCTCATCCAATAAAATCAGGGAAACGTCGATGATATCCCTCAAGGTGGTGCCCCAGTTCGGAATCGCTAAGTTGGTGAACATAAGTCCAATTTCACTAGGGTTGATGAATGGGGGTTATATCTATAGTATTCATGAGGATTATAAACCAACTTATAACTGGGGGGCACCATCCTGTATGATGGTTGTCTATATAGATGTATATTCCCATTTTTCCCAGCAAATTACATGTCCATCATATCCATATCAGTTGGTTCACCCCCCATTTTTTCCAGGAAAGCAATAGATTTTCATCCCCAAGTTGCGAACCAGCTAGGTCTTGGCCTTTATGGGGACCATCACGGTTTCGGACTCTGGGAGGTGACTGGACGACTCGTTCTGGCTGGAGAAGTGGATCCTCAACTGATCCTGGGGATACCATGGCTTTGTATAGCTATCTGCAAAGTGGTGCCCCAGTTCGTTAGCTAAGTTGGTTTATAACTCTCATAACTATGGTGTATGGATGTTTATGGCAGATATAACTATAGTTAATGGGGTTTATAAACCAACTTATAACTGGGGGGCACCATCCTGTGGGTAAATGTCATCACGACCGAACCCTGTTCTCCCGAACCCTGGAATCATGGTTTTTATAGGGAAATCATCGCCATGGCCGAACAATTCAGCTTAGTGAAATATTATAATTTAATATAATTTACCCAGATACATACTGTGGATGCAAGAAATCCTACAACAGTTGAGATATAGATTCTAGATGGTATAAACATCCCATGTGTTTCATAGTTCCTTCATAGTTAACAACTGGTGCAGGATTTTGTTCATCCACAGTACATATGGAGACAGAGATGCACATTATTTTTAATATACGTGTATACATATATATATATATATGTGGTTGTTGGTTTGGAACATTTTTCCATATATTGGGAACAATAATCTCATTTGACTAATATTTTTCAGAGGGGTTGAAACCACCAACCAGATATATATATATATATGTTATATGTTGTATAAGGATAAATCATGGCGACCTCACTGCGAAGTCACTGGAATGATTATTATTGATTACTATGGATTACTGCTGCTGCTCCTGCTACTACTACTACTACTACTACTAGTACTACTACTACTACTACTACTACCAACACCAGCACCACCAC